CCTCCCGCCTGGCCTGGTTTGAGCCCTCGCCTCGCGTCCGATCCGTAAAGCCGGGGCAGGCCGCAGCTTCTCTGGCCGGCTGTCCCTGGCGCTCCTGTGGCCAGGCCTGGCGGGGTTGCCGAGGGCGTGGGGAAAATGGAGAACGGTCTTTATCCCCCGGGGGCTATGATGTCAACGGAAGAAAACTCTGATAAATACAGTTATTCAAGAAGAAGTGGGGCAGATGTGGTTAAAAGTGACCTTTTGAAAACTTATTTTTTTGGTGGGGGGGGACACTTTAAAATTTGTAATTGCTGCGTCAAAGTCATGTACAATTTCTCCGTGTTCAGAAATACGGGTGGATTTTTCTTCGATCACTCCTTTACAATCTGCTTTTTGTTGAGGGGTGATTGCAGATTCATCTTTTCTCTAAAACGTTTCTGCCTAGTCTAGAATTGTTTAATAAAGGAATTTATAAGCTGCTCTGAGATCTTTTACCTTTTTATGTTGGAAGGCATCTGTGCTTCTATTTTAGGTATTAATATATTTCAACTTTTGGTGGAAGTGAGTGACACATTGTGTTAACAAGGAGCAGCTAATAAATAACACGTGTATTTGTCTCGCTTAGGAAGATATGTTTGGAGTGTTTGCTGAAATACTAATGCTGACCTGGAGAAAGGAAATTGCAGTTTGCCTCTTCTGTCACATAGATATCCAGAAAGATCTTCACTTAAATTTTTTTTTTTTAAACCCAGAGAATTCTTTAATGACTGCAGCAAATTACGCGGTCTCATAAGAATTGATAGCTGGATGACTGAAAAAGGAAAGGAATTTTTAACTAAAACCTTTGTTCTCTTTTATAAATGTTAGCTACTGATACTTGTTATTAAAAAGGCACTTCTTCTAAGTATTTAGCATCACTTCCCTTTTGTGGATTTCAAGTCTATTTCTCCTTTAATGCTTTAGCAACTTTGTTTTAATCTATACCTGTGCAGAGAAAGAATGAGTCCACTTAGAAATAACTAGGACTTGAAAGGCATGTGTCAAAGAATACAGAATCAAATGATGATTCTGATTGTGTGCACACATCTTTCTAGTTTTGCACCTATCTGAAGAGGGAGATGCTGGATGGTATGAGGGGGAGGTTTGGTTTCAGACATCCATGAAATATTCGTCATGCTTTGAATGCTCAGAGGTGCTTCCTATGCTTTTTTTTTTTGCTGTAGGAAAAATCGCAATGGTGCTAATTAGCTTAGTGTTATATAGAAGGTCACTTTCAGGATTAAATGTTTCCTTAACAGTCTTCAATATAGGTATTGTAACAGGGATTTTGATGATGAAAAAATCCTTATACAGCATCAAAAAGCAAAGCACTTTAAATGCCATATATGTCATAAGAAACTGTATACAGGACCTGGTTTAGCTATACATTGCATGCAGGTAAGAAGACTTACATAAGCATTTTTTTATCAGTATCTAAAATTGGAATTAATAGTGAACTTAAAAAGGTGGGGGCTTGGGGGCTTCCAGAGTCTTAAAAACTGATGAGAAAAAGATAGCAATGGTTTGTTTCCAGAACAGGAGTCCTGCTTTGTCAGCAGTCATATGGAGAGTATGCAGTAGAGATCTCTGCCGTCATTTCTGGGGTGCAGGAGGAGTGAAGGAATTTTACTGTCTTGGTGTTCAGAAGACAAGTTTATATAAACTGGTTTTAGAAGCTAATACTAGCTTACAGTGATTAGGAAGCACATACCAAGAAAACGCTTGGCTAGAGATATCCTTCCCATTAAGGATGTGCCTTTTGTATCTTGAAACAGGCTGAAGAACATGTAGAATCTAACCTGAATTGTGGTCATGAGGATTTTTTTTTTTCTTTAGGTACATAAAGAAACAATAGATGCTGTTCCAAATGCTATTCCTGGAAGAACAGACATTGAACTGGAAATCTATGGCATGGAGGGCATTCCGGAAAAAGATATGGAGGAAAGAAGGAGGTTACTTGAACAAAAAACTCAGGGTAAAGTGTAATCTAGCTAGTTATCTGTTGTTTCCCTAGTCTGTTTCTTACTGATACTAAGCTGTGTGATACAGGTCTCGCTTCTCAGAAGAGTAAGGGTTGGGTTTAATGCATTCTCTAACTGCAGCTCTAGACATTTGCCAGTCATGTAGAAGGATGAGAGATATTTTTCTTTCCCAATTCAGAAATAGCTGCATGCCAGCGCAGCTACAACAATTACCTAATGAATATGGGGATGGTGATTTTATTTTTGAGGGTAAGGGGAGGAAAGGCTAGGGGCGATACAAGCCTGATGATGCCCAAATACTTCTATTTCTTTGCTGTTTAAGTATACATTTGTTTGAACTGCTTTGGTTTATTCTGGACAGCATGAGATTGACATGAAAGAAGACCCCCATTTATGTTGAGGGTCATTACAGTTGAGTCACTTTCCCTCCCTTTATTATTTGTATGTATAGGTAGGCTCACATAGTTTTTCTTCTTTGTAATTCTATGAATTTTGAACATGCTAAGATTTGAATTTTATTATTTTTGTTCCAGCTAGAATACCCCAGATAAAATTAATTTCATAGAATGTAATTTGCCTTCAGTCTGACCATATATGTTGTACTCTTCAGCAGAGAGCCAGAAAAAGAAGCAACAGGATGATTCCGATGAGTATGAAGATGATGAATCTGCGGCTTCAACTTCATTTCAACCCCAGCAAGTTCAGCCACAGCAGGGGTACATTCCTCCAATGGCGCAACCAGGTTTGCCTCCTGTGCCAGGTGCACCAGGGATGCCTCCAGGTAAGATGGTGTTTTAAGTTGGTTACTGAAAAGCTGAGTAGAAATACAAATTGTGGCTGGTATGCTGGAATAATAATCTGCCCTTTCTAACACTGGGTGTTAGAGGTCACAAAATAGTTTTGTGAGGTGCACGTAAGCAGTTTCTTCACGGGTTTTTTTTTCCTTCCCCCATTCTGTGTGCGTGCACACATCTTCCTTTGTGAAGTAGATCAAGATACCTAATGCTTGCGTCTAGATTGAAGGAATGTTAATATGGTAGTAAGACAGATGAGTACTTTAAACATTAGTCTACCAATGATACTTGTTTGTGGTATTTTGTAGCAAGATTTTAGAAACAGGGCAGAAAGGCTGCCGTATATCTAGAGACTGCTAACGTAGAACAGGCAGTTTATACACAGGCCACAAATACATTGAAAGAATTTCGAACAATGACAGCAAAAACTGGTCTCTTATCATTACATTTTCTGTAATGATAAGGCATGTTGTTTGGAGACTACTAAGAAAATTTACGTAGTCTTGCAGGACTGAGAACAATGAATCTAAGTCAGATTTGTGGATAATCTTTTATATTGCGTTGTTTGTAAGCAGTGTTACTTCAAAAACCAATCTTTTAGAGCTTCTTGTAAAGCATTTATCCAGTCTAAATTTACTTGATGAGATTTGTTAGTGACTGTATGTTGTCGGAGTTGTTTAAAATTCATTTTTCTTTTAAGGTATACCACCATTAATGGCAGGTGTTCCACCTATGATGCCTGGAATGCCTCCAGTTATGCCTGGAATGCCACCTGGGTGAGTAACAAGAAAGACTTAATATTACATGTTCAACTGTGCGTTTTAAACTGTCACAGAAAAAGTAAAGCTAATTAGAAAAATGTACGTAGGAACCTGTGAACTCTGTAACCTTAATATTAAGACTAACCAAAGAACTGGATGGCTGTAAACCAACATTAAAAATATGGCCAAACTATGAGTTTATGTATAAAGTATGTTGCCTTTCTCCTAACTTTATTGGGTAGTAGTATAATAATTTCAAGTTGTGTTGTGTTGGTTTAGAGCCTTCTGTGAACCGCTGTTCCTTTGTGTATTGCACATATATTGTGCATCTGGTTATCAGTCATCAACCTAACAGGAAAAAAATACTGGATAGTTTAAATTTTTCTTGTATTTTGGGCAAAAGTAAGATGTTGGTTTTTATGCTTGTTTGGGGTTGACACCGTACCCTATCACAATGTGTTTGGAAAATCACAGTTAGATTTTTGATTTTGTCATAAATTTTCACAGATTACATCAACAGAGAAAATACATGCAGTCATTTTGTGGTGGAAACATGTAAGCATCTCATTAATGTAATTCTAGGTACATTCATTATGCCATTTTATGTCATGTTTTTGATAAGCTTGAAATTGTCTTACTGAAAACCTCTGAATATTGCCTAAGAATTTGGGGAAAATGTCGTTAGGTTTTGTTATTGTGTAGTATCTGAAGTTATTATGCTTTATCTAAATGAATATTACAAAACTATATGTTATGAGAAATGCATTCTACAAAATATTCATGAAATAGACCCTTAGGGGCTTAGAACCTCTCTTACACCGAACCTCTCTTCAACCAGAGTACAGCTCCATGTGCTCCATCCTTTACACTGTAGGACATATTGCAGGAACTTTGCTTCTAAGTTTTAAGCTCATTGAGGTGAAAGGTTGTTCTCTTCTGAGACACAAATGTTGTTTTAACAGTCTTTGAATTTAAAAATCATGTCATAGTCGAACATCTTGTGGATGCTCATCATGACTGTGGCTTTTCTGGGTGGAAACTGAACAGAATTTTATCAGGCTTGCTGGTGCTTAGTCCTCCTTAAACTCTGTTAGCTTCAGGTGAATGTAATGTCATGTAGTAAAAGACACAAAATAATTGGCCAAAAATTCACTGCACTGCCATTTTGGTGAAATTTTAGGGTGTGTGTTATATTATGTTTTTACCTGGATTAATCTAAAATTTTGCTTACTTAACCTGATGATCTTTTGTTTAAAAATGAGCAAAGAAGAATTAGGACCTAGGAAGCAACTTTGTTTTCAGTCTGACACTAGTTCTAGCGCTATCCCTGCAGTTTCTCAGAAAGTCATCTTTCTGGTGGCAGCAGGCAGTGAGCATCCAGCACTTTTTTTTGGGTCTAACAGATGGTTGTCAAAATGGGTGGCAAGACTGACTTTGCCTTCTCCAACCATTAACCCAAAAAAGGGGTGATGGTACTATGTTCCCAGTCATTACTGCTTCTACATTGGTTTTTCCTTTTGTAGCAGTGGTAGACAAGTTGAGAATAAAAATTAAGACTGGGTAGCAATATGCTTTGCAGAATGAACGCTTCCCTGTTTATGATGATTTGTTTTGATTTTGAAACAGCAGTGGTGAAGGTTTCTTGACTTTATCATACAAATAGAAACTGCTTCTTAGTGGGGTTTTGGTGTGCACTTGGCTGCTCTGTATCTGCTTATCTTGCTAACTAAAGTAATAAGCATTCCTTTATTTTGTTTCCCTAATCCAGTTGCGAGTGTCTGGAAAAATTTAAGCAAACTTAAGCTACACTTGGCTTGTTCCCTGTAAAGGAATCATATATATTCATCTATAGCTTCCCAGCTTAAAAGCATTTAGTGTTATAGACAGCTTATTTTTTATGGAGTTGCAGCCCTGTGCAGGAGGAATTTGCTTATATTAAGGGTTGTATGTATAGTTTAGATGGGGAACGTATTAATTTGTAGTGTGGTTTAGTAGATAAGGATAAAAGGAGTCATTTAGATGCTGCCTTTCTGTTAGGAAATACAGACCGGTTTTTTCTCCAGGTATCAGTAGCAAGGGGAAAAAAAAAAAACCCAAACATGTTTTTAATATGAAGGAAAAATATGCCATAATAAGGACTTCTCATTTAAAAAAAAAAAAAAAAAAAAATCCCACTTTTCTATCCTTAGCATAGGGAATATTTAATGTAATTGGAACTCCAGAAGCTTTCTTGTCCTGTGGTCTTTGCTCTGCTTTTATCAGTATTTTGTGGATAGTTTACAGATTTGGGTTCTCTGCAATTCAATGGAGGAAGGAGGAAATGTTAAAATAGTATGAGGGTGCTATAACCACAAATAGACTTGTGGTGTCAGAAAGGAGTAATAGCAGATGTACAGTGATTTTAGTGTGATTGGAGTTAGCTGTTTTTCCTACTTTCAAATTTTCTGAGTGTACTAAGATCAGGTTCTTGGAACACTGCTGAAACTAGTAGCCTGAAATAGATTTCAAGAGAGACACCAGTTCTGGAAATGGGGTAATAGTGGAAGTGAAAGCTTGAGGAATTAAAGCTCAAATAAAAAGTGTTTGGGGGTTTTCTTGTGGGTTGGTTTGTTTGTTTGTTTTGTTTGGGTTTTTTTTTTTCCCTTGTGGAAAAACATTTTTAACTGTGGAGTCAGCTGATTTTGAATTGCCTCTGTTGAGAGCTTCTTGAAATTATTTACCATAATTTTTTATCTAATACAGGTATGTACCAATTGTCTTAAGAGTTTGTCATGAGTGTTCATACCAGTGCTCATTTCCTGTTTAATAGGATGATGCCGATGGGTGGAATGATGCCTCCTGGGCCAGGAATACCACCTCTTATGCCTGGTATGCCACCAGGTAGGTCAGTTATTGAACTCATACTATGGTGAGAGCTAAATTATATCTATTTATTTCCACTGAGATTTAGGATTTATGTAAGGAGTATACAGACTTATGCCACCACCTTGGTGTGGATTGATTGCCGCAGAAGCCACTCTTGTGCACAGGTGAAGGGGTTGATTTATGGATTTTGATTATAAATAATTATTTGTGTTTGGTTCCATTGTGAAGGTAAAAAATAGAATATAGTTTTCTCCTCCTGTTGCACTTTCTCTGGCTTTTGTGTTGCCTAGTCTCTCTTCATCCCTTTTTTTAATGTTTGTGGCTGTAGCTGGAAAATTGTAGTGATTGAAAATGTGGGAAATGAAAAATACCTAAGTAATGAACCTGCTGTGTGAAGAAACTAATTGGAATTTTGGTCTCTCACCATAGCTAGAAGAGATGTTTCTCAAGCTTGTGCAGCTCTTAAGCAGCCTTAAGTTCTGAGGGTGTTCCACCTGACCAGCAGCCATGCTGTGATAGCTTGAGATTTGCTGGTTTGCCCGCATTCCTCACTGGAGAAGGAGGCAAGCCACTAGGACAGTTACAGCCTAGTTCTGCTGCACAGTAATATGATGGAACCCATGTAAGCTGTTAACTTCCCGTCACTGAATCTCTCCTAGAGCCCCACACGTGTGGAGTGCATGTATTGTGATGATAGGCTACAAAAAGTAGCATTGTGTCACTGTTCCACTGTGTTGAAGACACACAGCAAAGCTGATCTGTGTTTCGGTCAAAGTTCTGATACCATTTGTAATGGCTACATCTTTTGGATTTTGTAAGTGTCTTATCCATGCGCTTGGCAGCTTAGGCGCAGTGTGTTGGAAACAGTTACTGCATTAATTGCATTGATTTATAAACTTCATCATTTAAGTTCTAGTAGAAAACACAAATTAATTCAGTATTGCTGTGAAGTGTTTGAGGTTACTGCCTATGCATGGACATTTATTGGTGACTGCTGGCATTACCCTTTGTCATGTTTTATTTTGTCATGTTTTATTTTACTATTGCCTTAAAAATACATCTTCCCTGGGGAAGACTGTTCTAAGGAACACTGTGAACAGAATCCTCTAAAGGAGTATTCTTACTCCCTTCAGCCTGATTTGTTACCAGCTCTTTGTGGTTTGTAGGTATGCCACCACCAGTTGGTCCTCGTCCTGGGATGCCTCCAATGACACAAGCACAGCCTGTTACAGCACCGGGCATTCTTAACAGGCCTCCAGCTCCTGCTGCATCGGCACCTACCCCCCAGCCTCCAGTTACTAAACCACTCTTCCCAAGTGCAGGGCAGGTAAGGTATCTCATAGCCTGAAATCTATTGTTATATTCTTCAAATTGCCACTGTGTTAACAGTGTCTATTCTTTATTATTGAGGAGGCCCGAGAAGTGACTGCAGTTTCTTGCTTGTGTTGATTCTGAAGTTTAATTCAGTGTAGTGCTTGAATGAATTTTAAAAGATTCTTTTGTTTGTCTTATAACAGCCATGAAACCAGACAGAAGTTCTGTAAGCACGTGGGGAAGAAAGGAGTAGGCAAAACAATTCTTTAATCCCTTTAGTTTGTCGTTTATAAGGGTGCTCTGGGTGGGTGAAGGGATGTGTTAGTTAGCTACAGGAATCTGATTGCATAGAACTTTACCTAAAATTTCCAAAGTATAAATCTTGACATGACTTGTTCTCTCCTGTTCTTTTCATAATGGGCTCTCTACCCATAGATGGACTAATTTATTCTGTAGTCTTGTTAAACTGGTTAAACATTGCCTGAATTAGGAGGTTTTTTACTTTAAAAAGTTTAGGAGTAAGTTAAGGTAGTAAAAATTTGTTTAAATGTTTTGGGGAGGGAAGTGGGTAATTGATAGTGACGTGTGACCTCTACCCTTTGATTGCACTTACTGTGTATAAGTCCTGAAGTTTTTACTTGCTTTCAAGTATGTTGCAGAAACCTTCATAGTGTACTATTTGCATTTTGGACTTCTGCAGGGAAGATACTCGTTTACAAAAACACAGTCCTTTCATAAGAAGGGACTTAGCATAAGAAATCCTTTCGTCTGGATACTTTCCACCCATTTGTTTGGAGACTTTTCACTGTTTCCTTTCTTTTATGCTACAGATGGGGACACCTGTCACAAGCTCAAGTACAGCTTCCTCCAATTCAGAAAGTCTGTCAGCATCTTCTAACGCTCTGTTTCCTAGCACAGCACAAGTACGCAGGAAGTCACAGTTAAAAACAAATTGCTTTGCAACTTAACCCTTTGGACCGTTCCGTAAAATCTAAAATTGACTAAACATCTTCAGATAATTTCTGTTATATTCCTGATTATGTTTAGCGGGTAAAACTGCAGAGTCCTTGATTGGGAGTTGCATCTTACTAGAAATAAGCATGTCAAAGTGCCCAATTTCTCTTAGTGTGGAAGAATGAAATGTTACATCCTGGTTCTAAAGGGTTAAAAAAGCATGAAAGCAGTTAAATGCATTTTAGTGGGCAGTGGTTAGCTTGATGCATGGTGAAGGCTTTTTAGTTTATGTTGTTTAATATGGTACATTACGATGTAGGGAATTTTGTGATTTGCATTATGCGCAAAAAATTGAAATCCTTTGTTTTGATTGGAAAGTTCAGATAATTGTAAATGTATAGTGACTAGAAACAAAAGCATTCTGTCATAACGAAAGCTTGCTTTGGAGATTGCTGCATCTTCAGAGAAAGCCTGTTAAAGCAAACTTTTCTTGTCTAACAGTTAAAGAAAAAAGTAGGAAAGATGAAATGCTGGAATCTGTAGTGGACCTCATATCTGCCTTCAGCTGATTCTTCATTCCCAAGCTAGTTAAAAGATGTATAGAGAGACCGAGTACTTGTGAAAATATTGCAGTGTTTTTATAGAGACAACACTTGAAAACCCTGACACAGTAGAGCTTTCTTAAATATTTAAAACATTTCTTAAATACCTAATTTTAATGAATACTAACACTTTGAGCTGTACTCTAAACTAATGGTTGCTAAAGTATGCTAATAATTTAGTGAGAGAACAATGAGTTTATACTTATAGGCTCTTAATAAAACAGTGATTCAGAAAGATTTAGACATTTACCAAACTCAGTATTTGAGATAAAAATTTTGATAGTGGGGGGTGGTGGTTGTTGTTCCTTTTTTTCTAGTTGTGGCTTTTGACCTGCAAACTTTAGACTTTCCAGTGTGTGTGTGTATATGTGTATATACTGGGTTTTATTTTGTCTTGTTTTCAGTTGCTCTAGTGTGCGATAAGGCTGAACTTTACTTTTGTCAAGCTTGTTTTAATTATGTATCTCACTGGAAGGTTTCAGAGCTCTAACAGACATCATTTAAGTTTTCTTATGCTTTGAGAAATAAATATTGATCTATCTCTGTGTTCCGCAGGCTGCAGCAGCTGTTCCAGGTCCAGTTGGTACTGATTTCAAACCTTTGAATTCTACACCTGCAACAACAACAGAACCCCCAAAACCTACATTCCCTGCTTACACACAGTCTACAGCCTCAACCACTAGCACGACAAACAGTACTGCAGCTAAACCAGCTACATCTATAACAAGTAAGCCTGCTACCCTCACAACAACCAGTGCAACCAGTAAGTTGATCCATCCAGATGAGGATATATCACTGGTAAGTTAAAATATTTTCATTGTTTTATTGAAAAATGCAATTTATGCTGATATGGCTGATTAAATAGAATTTCTTCTGCATTATGTGTATTTTAATAATGGTGTGAGTGCAAACTGCAGAATTAATGTAACGGAACCATGCATCAAGAAAACTTCGATTGCAAAGTGATGACTGGCATATTGCAATGATCCTGCTGCAGATCTAAGCCTTACTTTTCTTGGTGATAGGAGATTACTCAACCCAAAATATAATTTGGACTACTTCTGCATATGACTTAAGCTTGAAGTTAAATAGATATAGCTAATGAGCGTAGGACAAAAGACTTAACAGTTTGAAATGGTCTTGGTGCTATTACAGCAGTCAGAAATACGGAATTCATGAATAAAACAAATGAACCTTAATTTCAGTTCAGATATCTTTACATTTGTGTTTGGCTTTTTTGTTTCAACTTGTTAATGAGGAAAAGGCTTTCTTCAGCTGAGAGAGGACGAGAATTTGTGTTGTGTGCAAAATGCTAGATTGGCCAGTATTAATACTCAGTAGCTCTGAAGGAAGGGGGAAAAATCCAAATGCTACTGTATAATGTTACTAGTAGCAGTCTTTGAACTGGTAAGGTAGTTGAAGTAGTACCTGTAATCTACTTTGTTATGCTTTTATTTACTTTGCTTTTGGTGAGTTTTAGCCTTACAATGTGTGACGGTTGTCTGTTCCTGGTTTTAGGAAGAGAGAAGGGCACAGTTGCCTAAATATCAGCGTAATCTTCCTCGGCCAGGACAAGCTTCCTTGGGTAATCCACCAGTTGGACCAATCGGAGGCATGATGCCACCGCAGCCAGGAATTCCTCCACAACAACAAGGAATGAGACCTCCCATGCCACCTCATGGTAATCCTAAGTTTCTCAGCTTTCTTTTCTTGAAAAGATTTTTTTTTTTTCCTTTCCCCAATAAACATTTTTTAAAACTTGAAGTGGCATATACTGGTGGGGGAGTGTGAAGCTTTTCACAAAATGCAACTTCTGCCCGTTATTTAAAAAAAACCCCAAACTTCTTTGCATCTTAAATGTTCTGTTTATAGGTCAGTATGGTGCTCATCACCAGGGCATGCCAGGATATCTTCCTGGAGCGATGCCTCCATACGGTCAGGGACCTCCGATGGTGCCCCCTTACCAAAGTGGACCTCCTCGACCTCCAATGGGAATGAGACCTCCTGTAATGTCGCAAGGTGGCCGCTACTGATGCTACTACACACGCTCTAATAGGTTTGGAGATTAAACCTTTTCTCATCTTGTGCTGTTAATATAGCCGAGCTTCCGTCAATTAAGGCTTCATTGTGACTTTAAAAAAATAAGTATCTTCCCACATGCAAGGAGCTATTGGACATTCTTATTTTACATGGGAAAATTATTTGGAATAATAACAGGAACTTTTCCTGATGTTGCAATTTATACTGTATGGCTTCTTTTTCATGTTTCATCTAGGTTTTTAGAAGTGAAGTATAGTAAATATGGTTCGTTAAATTGTGAAGGCGCTGGAATTACATGAACATACCACCTTAAAGGCAAGTTCTGTAACATTATGTTGCTCTTTGTGAAATGATGCCTTCACAGCACTTCAAGTGCTGTTGGACTTCATGTCCCCAACATAGTTTGGTGAGGGCTGTAACTGTTCCCAACTACTTGTACATTTAAGTCTGAACTTGTAACGATATTTAATGTATTTAGAGTTCCTCCTGTTTCAGGGTTTAAGTAAATTGACCCACTAAGGTCGTGTGACTTTTCTGTACTGTTATAAACTTCATTGTAATAAAAGAAGAGAAAAATTTATATGCCTTTTTATTCATGACCAGCTGTGGACAACTGCCTGAAAGGTTTGTACAGATGCATGCCATGGTAGCTATTGGTGTAATGAACAGAGTTACTGGTGCTGTTTTGATTAAAATCTGAATTCCTTGTTCTAAAATTAAGTCACTCCTTAGCTGCACGTCTGAGTAGACAAAGACCTGTACACTTATTAACTGACTCCTCAAAAATGAGGCTGCAGGAGGCACATCTTAACTCTTGGTTGTAACTTCTCTTAATGCATATGTTTCTTTATTTGTGCTTTCTTGTCCTCAATAAATTTTAAATGATTTCTAGTCCTGGCACTTACTTGTAGGATGTAAAAGTGATTGCTTTAAGATGCATCCTGGTGCCAGATGTGTCCTGTTAGTTCATTCTTCGACTGATGCTTTTTAATGTGCAAATGCATATGAATTTCAGGAGCCTTTTAGATGAAGATTTCTAGAAGCTTAGGTGCATGTCACATGGGTGAGTGACTTCCAGTTGATGTTGTATTGAAGTTGACCTGCAAAAGAGAAAAAGTAGCTTGACTACCTTCTCAGTGTACAAAAGAGACAGAGGGGGCAAGAGTAATATGTTAGATGCTGTATTTTTACTTTAAACGTGCAGAATTTCAGATCTCAACAGAGTCTAGAAGACGAACCATCTGTTGCGTGCTATGATCAGATGGTGGCTGAGTTTCTTGAGTCATTTAATGGAAGTGTCTAGAGTGAGAGACCTTTTTATCAGTTCTCCTAATTACAGTTATCAAAGGGAGGTCTTCCCCATATGAATTAGTCTTTTATCTGTTTATAAAAGTAGAGTGATAAATTACTGTCAAGGTTGTAATTCTCTGAATGTCTAACATCACTGTGTTAGTGTGCTATATTTCTGATGAGAATGAAAATGTAGAGGGCAACTACTTGGAGGGAAGGGACGTGAGAGCTTCCCTGGTCTCTTCACAACAGGGGAAAAAAGGAGTGGTGAATTTTTCATTTGCAGGTCAACTTTAAATACATGTTCCAGCCTCAAGCCTTATCCGTGCAATTTAATTTATGGGGATATCTCTTCTTTTAGAGTATGTTAGAAAGATTATCAGCATTTTTATGTTAGTTTATGTTCCATAGATGTTTTTGTTGATGGTGGAGTTTTTTCACTAAATTATAATACTGAGCATTGTGGCTCTTTTTCTTAAAAGACTTGGGGTTTTTTAGTTGCACTTAAGTACTTCATGTGGCTTTATTCTGTACTGTCTCTTAATAGTCAGAAATACAGTACAGCTAAAATACTACATTGTCTCTCAGCTTCAAACTTAGGGTCATGGAATGGCTCATAAAAACACTAGAGAATCCAGTACACCCTAATTACAGCTCAATGGCCTTAGTTTAACCATTAAGAATTATCAGGCACTTTTTCTGAAGTGTTTAGCAGTTTTAAGACCATAACTCCAAGCCTCTGTTGAGAAGCAGTTCTCTCTGATCACTGGTATCTGCTGATCACCTGTCAGATGTGCAGTATTTGGGTTGTGAATGTGCTGAGTGGGCCTTGATGTCAGATCTTTTGTTAGCTCTTCATCTTGCTTTATACATTAGTCTAACAGATAAAACTCTTTTGCTTAGGCAATGCTTTTATACTCTGGTTTTCTTCTGTTTTTCTTTATCTAATAAGGATAATTACAAAACACTGGAGAGATTTTTACAGTGTCTTACATTCATCCTTTTTGTAATACTACACATAGAATTCATACGTTATAAATTGATCTTAACTTGTGCTTTTAAAACTATAGAACTTCTTGCTTTTTCTGAAGATCATATTGCTGCTGTAAGAATGCTTTGCCCTTCTGCCCCTAGTAAAGTAAATACCTTCTCCCTTTGGTGTCCTTCTGTAACTCATTGGTATGTTGTTTTCAGACCCCTACTTTTCCTGGGATAAATACTTGAAAACCTTACTGCATGTACTGTTAACTCAGCATATTCTGCAAGTTGTTTTAATTAAGAGTTTCCCTCTTTTGAATAGTCAATGTCTCATTGTTCCAATAATAGTACCATTTTGTAGCTAATACTACATAGACTTGGACACATTTTAAGATTGAACTTTCCTTAGTAGTAATGTTATGATAATCCCTCAACTGAATACTGCCATGTATTGTTCATATGGTACTCTAATAATCTTCAGCGAGCAGGTGAACAATTTTTCCATGATTTTTCACGTGGATACTTACTTTCCTGCTCCTGTCATTTCTGTGCTGTAAGAGCTGTGATGTGGCTATCTTTAGTTACTCTTGTGTCTCTTGTGTGTACTCTTCTGTAAACAGGCGGGTATTTCAGTGCATATGTTGTCTGTTGGTCCCTGCCTTCATTTCTTTGGACACTGCTTCTTAATGTTCAGAGAGTTGGATTTATGGTGCATTTTCCAAAAAAGAGGAAAACTAGTAGTAATTGCTTGTATAAAGACTAAGGCTTGGTTTACAGTACAAAGTTTAATCAACATCGTTGTGCCAGCAAAATCCGTAATATAATGCAGGCATGCAGACAGTTTTTTGCTTTAGTTAATCTCTCCCTCGAAAGAGATTGCAGAAGCTTTTATGATTACAGAGAAGCATATCTCTTTTTTATCTGTTGCAGGATTCTGGTGATATAATTACATAGGCAGAAGCTTTGTTTTTCAGTTGTTGCCTAAATTTGCCATGGCAGATCTTATAGTAAAATTAAAACTTGCAAGTAGATTTTGATCGATCTTTAAATTGGAATGTAATGCAAATGTTGAATACCAAAAAAACAGACTGCAAGAAAATATTCTGACACAGGTGGGAAAATATGTTTAGCGAAATACTTAGAATTTATGGCATCTAGGACTCATTTAAAAGGTTCTAAATTATTTTATGCATGGTCTCTCAGTATCATTATGAGAGGCTGATCTCATATCTGCTGATTTTTAGAGCAAAAGGGATGAGACTGGCATGAAAGAACCTTGGAAAAGCCCGGGCTGTTTTTTCAGAAGTCTTGATATGACTGTTTTGTACTGCCTTTAGAATATCTTTCTGCCTTTGGCAAAGGTTGCTTTAAATAAAATCTTGAAAATTTAGCTGGCTTATGTGGACTAAAAATTTCTTCTTCTGGAACTTTGGGATTTTTTTTTTTTTTTTTTTTTCTTCCACAGATGATGAGATTTTTAGGTGCTGATAATAAATTTGAGGCTGGGATGTATATCTAATAAATTCCGTGGATAACTATTCCTCGCTCTGTGCATGCATGGGAGAACGTAAACAAGCTTCTAGAAACACATGCAGCTGCATCTGCCTTCTATGGTTTCTGCAATTATTTTAGCGTATGGAGCTCTTGAATAGTACTTACATAGAAATGTATAACTTACTTAAAACTTGGATAAAATTGAATGGAATATATAATCTGCAGTTATTTTACAGGAATCAAAGAATTCTGCATACAAGATAAAAAATAAAATATCAAGATTACTTCAGTTTTATAAACAGCAAGAAGGGCATTATGACTCTTCAGTTAAATTGAGACTCTGATATACCAGTCCATGAGCTGGGGCTGCAATTTAAAATGGTAACTAACGACACTTAAAAATAATAGTAAATGTCTTAATAATTGTACTGGTCTAGCTTCTACATAAATACTAAGGTGAGGGTGAACACTTTCAGTGGCTGATGGAATCTTTAACTCTACTTTTTGTGAACTAGTACAGTAAATACTATCAGTTCTGGGAAAAATGCCCCAAGACAACTGACTTATGTTCCATTGATCAAGATACAAAGCAAAACTGTCCAATTCAGAAATAGCTACCAACTGTAAAAAGTTTTGTTTGGGCCTAACAAAATAGGTGCAATAGCAGTCATCTTCTTTTATTTGCTTGATCACTGGAATTTTGTTAACTTGAATGCATGTCTTTCACTTAATTGGGTCATGTTTTTTCTAAAATTTAAATTTTTCTTCTTCCTATAGCCCTGCCATAGGACAGGCTGAGGCAGAGTCTCAGTGTTGCCCTGTTCAGTCTGAGGCAAGTGGGATTTATTTTATTCATTCTGGGGGCTTTCACAGCTTTATGGCTGTTGGATATTTATGTCCCCAAACTTGCAGCAAGTTTGGTGAAGGCCCCTAAATTTATTTTAATTTAGGTTTTTTTATTCTCTTTTGGTAGATGGGCTCTATATTAATATTTATCTTTTTATTATCGTGTTTTTAAGAGTCTTAAGGGGAGGGAACATGTTTTAAGATGTTTGGGTACCTTTTCTCCTAATGGAATGCGTTTCTTTCAAGGCCGCTCAGGCAGTCCTTCAGCCACACTGCCCCCTCTCCCTCTCCCCCTACATTGCATTTGTGCTATATTTGTTTTTGGTTTTGGTAATGTGACTTTGTGTAGTCTCTGAGCTAGTGTCTTGTAAATATCAACTACTAATGTTTCCTCTTCTGAGGAGACGTATCTATTGAAGTGCTTAAAATACTTAGGTTTTAACTAGTAAGTGACATTTACAGTCACAAAATTGCATAGTCTAAATTATAGGATACGGTTTCCTTGGAGGAGGTTAAGATGTTAATACTGCTGCATGTGTGAGCTGCACCACAACAAATATTAATGTAGAGCCCTATGAAGAAATAGAGATTCATGTTGGTAAAGTAGAATAGAAGAATGAGAAATCGAAGCTGCAGATTTTTCAGTTTGTCAGTTTCAGGGAAAACCTTTTTGTCAGTCTCTCAAACACACCAAACTTGACAATATTTTGTCTGTTGCAACAATACTGAAAGTCATAGCGGTTTTTTTGAAACCTTGTGGAATTATGTTGCATATTCAAAATTTGCTTCGGTATACGGTTATTGGAAGTTCCTTCTTTCGCATAGTGACTAGCAAAAAGTTCTACCGTTTGTGGAGAAAAAGGAGCTTTAGTGTTGCTGCTCACTCTGTTGCAGATACATTGGCTTTGAATGCTTGAGGTTGCTTAAAAACAACTTCAGCTTCAGAACAGGTTTTGTCTGAGGAGGTCTTGCAGCCTGTCAGCAGTGAAATAGAAAACTAACAAATGTTGGAGTCAGGTTTTATAACTTTTTTTAAATTTTTGAGATCTTTTTAAAATTTGTGGTGTTTTTTGGTGAACATAGACTGTATTTCATTTCTTCAAGATTTTGCTAAAGATTGACCCCCGATGTGATTTCCAGTAATTTTAATTAAAGGATAGAGTTGTAATTCTTAACTTGGTTACAAGAGTGGATTTCACATTCCTGTTGTACTCTTCTTTGTTTGTACTCTGCCCTTTGCATTTTTCCTGTAAAAGGCCCCCCCAAATAGTCTAGTCTGACTGGAAAATTGACATGACCTTTCAACTGTTTCAAAATGATTATTGAGCATGGCGTTGCTTTTCCAATTCTCATTGTGGCGCTACCCTTGATAACAGTGAAGATGAGAGCAACACTTCAAGATACACTACTACAACTAGGAGCATTTGGCTTAGTTCTTATTTCCCTAGAATATCTAAGGAAACAGTTTAACCAAAAATAATATGCAGTATGGCTTGTACTTCTTGCTTTAAGTGTCTGAATCTCTTAGAGACTCAGAATGAAAAATAGGCAAATTTCAAATGCCTGATACTGAACTTTTATCAGTTTCCATTTAAGACCGATGCAGCACTAGGTAGTTTTTATCCAGCTACTCATATTCAGCTTGTCATCAAGCACACAAAGCTAAAATTCAGATACGTATGCTGTCTTGTGTCCAATGGAGTACCCTACTTAGATCCACACTTGGGTTATATCTTATAAATTGATACCCTGGTGAGAGCTAAAAGTTTTTAAATTCAGAGAAATTGCTTTGATCTGTTTTTGTTGAAGATAACTAGGTTTGACATGTTAATGGAAAAAATGTGTCCAAAATGCAGTTCCTGTTTTCACTGTGTCATTGTTTAAGCTCTGTATACTGATGCTTGGGAGCAAATGAACCATTTCTTTGTGTTTTGGCATGTTTTGTGAGCAAAACATAGTGTTTTTCAGCACCACATTGCTATGGATTTTTTTTTTTTCTTGAAGCTGCTTTTAGACAATTCCAAGAAGATTAATTTCACACTATCTACTTCTGAAAGATGCATTTGACATTCAGACAATTCCATGGGGTGTTACTGTATGAGTTAAAGGGGGTTTTGGCTCTGGGTTTTCCTGCTACACTGCAAATACTGCTTGTAATTTCTGGTGGGTGGTTCACACATCCTTCACTTCCATCCTTTACATTCCTGTCCTTTCTGTAAGTCTCTAAAGGACTGGACACAACAGGTGTTTTTTGTTCCCTCTTTGGGAGGTGGTAGCTTTAGCAGATTATATTCATGTTACTCTGATCTGTTACCACAGACTAATGTTTGTCCTTAAATTTGCAGCAAGTAATGCTGTGCATTTTTCATTTGCGTTGTGTTTTGTCCTTAAAGATACATGTGCAAGTGCTGCTATCTTTCTAGTCACAAGGATGGCGTAATGGCTCTGTGCTTTTTGCTGGGAGTATCTCCTCAGCTATTAGACCAGCTGGCCTGTAAAATTCTCATCTAGTGCAAATGGTTCATACTTTGCTCTTTCTGTGAAGTTCTGTTATTGACATTTTCCTCCCTCCTTCCTTGTGTGGATCTAAGGGGAATAGTTCCAAAAAGAAAATTTACACTTTATTTTGAGGGACGGTGGTGTGTTTTTACTGACATTCCAGTATTGCAGCTCTCAGTATTGCAGCAGTCTGTGTATCACAAAGTTGTACATCTCACCATTTGTGGAATTTCTTTTCTAATGATGATAGTATTTTAGTGACTTGACTTTTACAGATATTAATGGAAGTAGGTCTTGGGGAGTTTGGGGGGGGGGGTTTAAGCTTAAGTGGAGGTACATGACCTTTTTTTTTTTTTAAAGGGCAAGAATTACTGATACTCTGCTAAATTGGGTGAATTTGCACCCACTGTTTTTAACAAGAGAAGTGAATGGGAGATGTGGCAAATAAAGTATGTACCACGCATGAAGTTTTGGCTTGCTTTAGAATTGTGTGATAAGTTCATAATGTGTTCTGTGCCTTGCCTAATAAAGATTGTAGCCCTTAAATACTCTGAGGAATAGGCTACCTCCAGAAGAATTTTTTAAAAAAGTATGTCTACTTGCAATCAAAATAATCAGACCAGTGAAATAATGGTAGTGACTGGGTTCTATAAAAATGCAGGTATCCGTGACTACCATATTTTCCTGTAATAGTTGGGGTAGGTAGATACTAGTTTAGAGTAAGAAAAGTTTTGAGGCAGCCTTTGAAGGGATCACGATAGAATTGAAGTGATTCTGAAGTGTAATGTATATAACATTCTTCTGAAGTTCTGAAAAAACTTTGTGAGAGTTTTCTTACACATTGAAAACAGCAGCTTTATGCAGTCTTTTGATTTTTCAGAAAGCAGATTCTCATTAAGGCTCTACTAGAAGAAAATGCAGTTCGAGTACAGTATTTGTAGATTCTGTTGTATAGTAAATGCATTTTTACTTTGTCTTGTGAAGGTCTATTTGAGGGAGCCAGGCACTTTAGCTTGCATGGAGACAGCCATATCCTGTCTTGAACCACAGGATCCAGGATGTTATCCTCAGTCGTTTGTTCTTGGCATCCTGATGAGTCAGTATTGACTGTTCATGGTACGCACTGTGTGTGAGGGTTGGTATTTATACACCCGATCACGATTGTGAATAGTGAGGTGCTTGCACATTCTGAGGAAGTTTACAATAACTTGTTTTATTCTTACGGGCTTTCTTGCAGTAGGAACAATCGGCAGCACTGCTGTTGTAATGACGATGAATTTAATGTCTCCGTAAATATTGTCTTGAACTTATCTTAAGGTTTTTCTTTCTTGGGGATTTAAAGAAGTTTAAAACTTTTCAGAAAATAGTAGAATTTTAATGCCAGTATCATCTTAACTGAAAACAAACGAATACACAACTTTGAGAGCTTGAAGCTTCCTTAAAACTTTCTCTTGTTAGCTAACAGGCAGATATACTTTAACTGCTAACTGCCTTATACCAGATTCAAGCTTCTGACATCTCAAATTTTATTTCTTAAATTTTGTCTAAATCTTAACCATGTTCCCAGGTGCTATTCAGAAAGAGTGTGTGTGTAGAATTTCAACTTCTGCTACCCTTAGTAGCCAATATGTTAAAATGATTTTCGCTAACAGCAATTTTGAATTACCAGAAATTAATGCCATACAACCAAAGGAAGCTATTTCACTGTCTCCCAACTTACAAAGTTATGTAATGCTTTGAGATAAAGATGTCATGCAGAGTTTTTTTCTTTCTCTTTTTTTCATTGAGTTACCTGCATATATGTTACTTACACTGAATTCTTTAGCTTCTTTCCCATAAATTTTAGTGGAAGAAAATACATTTTGCTCTTTCATTTGTAAAGTCTAGAATATGAAAACACAGTTTGAGACTGTTTAATGAAGGAACCTGGCAATGTAAGTATTATAATTTCCTTTATGTTTGTGGCAGGCAACAGGATTACCTTGTTAAACTTCTGGCTTATGTATGAAAAATATCAGAAAAGTAAGGGCAAATTGAAAGTAGTTTTATAGTTGCCTTTACTTCATATGCTTTTCTTAAGCAACAAATTGCCATAATTGAAGTTTGGCAGCTTTTTTAATGAAAAACTAAACTATGGGTTAAACTCCTTGGTTTAATACAATTTGTGTTTCTGTTAACTAGCAGCAGAATTTCAGCATTTGCTACTTACTGGTAGAGAAGAAAAATTCCACAGCACTGCCAGTACAGGTTTGTTTAATCTGTAAGTACCTAGTACAGGTTAGTTTAATCTGTAAGTACCTGATGTTCCTATTTGAAATAATTTGTTCAAATGATACCACTTAAATACGAGGGGAATTTTGGTCTCTGAAATGTGAATGTATCTGTTATCTACTACTGTTTTCAGTAGTGAGTGAACGTCTAGATTTTTTTTTGAAGATCTGTAATGGTTTTAACTACAGTTGTGGGTAGGTAATATCTGCAAGCGCTTTTAAGGAAAATTTAATACAGAACCTTAAGAAATAGCCATTGGTGTTATTGAAAAGTGTGAAGATCTAAAGTTGAAGTCACTTCTTCAGTAACATGGCTATTATAAAAGAGGCTGTTTTATCAGTGAACCAATTATAGGATACTATATTTGTTGTGTTGGGGAATAAGCATTTCTGTTTGTAAGAATCCATAGCAGTAATGTAAATCTTTCGATTTTTGTTAGCTATTGCTAATTACTGTCTCCTACCAACAGATTTTTACTTTGTTAGGCCTGTAAGCCAGGAGCTTGTTCTTCTCTGATTTTTTTTCATTTTGTTGTGTTTTGTTGGCCCATTTCAGCACTTCAGAGGCTACCTACAAATGAGGTTTTGCCCAGCTGTTTTATCTTACTCCAGAGTTACTGCTCTGCCTCTGTTCTTTTTTCCTTCTTCCCTATTCCATATTCCTGGAAATTTTGGCATTTTATTTTTATTTTATAGAATATTTTACACCTCAAAATAGGAGAGATTCTTTGTGATTGGATAAAAGATGCAACCTTTTCCAGAATAGCTGCATACATTTATTTTTATTTAAGCTTTGTGTACCTCATCTCTACATATCAGCATGGGAGATGAAAACTTTCTGTGCTGTGGCACATAGCATAGTTTCACAGCTGGATGAGCTGTAAAGCTCCTGTGCTTTAATTCACTTCTCAAGGGCATGTTATCACATAGGGAATTTGAGGGTCTTTTGACATTATTGGTGGATAATTATATAGAAACTAGGCATTGGAAAGAACATACTAGTGTGGTAGCTGAACAGACACTTGAATAGTTTTGCCAGCTCATCTGTGTGGTCTAGAGTAGTTTCATGAGTGACTTGATGCTTCCAGCAGTATTGCTTATTTTAGAATTTTGAAATCTTCCGTGACGCTGCAGAATTCGTCATACTAACATAAAAAGTTTCAAGGGGATTGTATCTTCCCAGGTTTTAGAATAGTTGCAGTTGAAGCCTGTCTCCTGGCATCTTCTCTACATCAGTTCTCAGTCATTCACACTAAATCGCTTTATCTGCAAAACTAGCTACGTGCCAATTTTTGAATAATGTTGCATAGGTGTTTCTCCCTAGAAGAAAAAAAAGGAAAGTTGTGTAATAAAATTTATAACTTACCTTTGCCTATATTTCCTAAATCTTAATGGCAGATGTGCATGAATAATAGGGATACCTTGCTGTGAGGCCATTATCCTATTAACAGCATGTATGCATCTTTCTTTTAACTTCTGTGGTTGACCCTAGTTGATACTTAATGCAATGCTCGTAATAAGTCGGAATGAGTAACTGATTGCTTTTGGCTGCTGAATTACTTTGTGAAGTCTCAGTTTTGACAGTGGTTGGATGCTGACCTGCACTACTTGTAACACCAGCTTGGCAATCAATGGGGATAACTAAAGGGTAGCGGTGTTCTCTAGTGTCTTACAATAAAAAGTGTATTTGTCCAGGGTAGATCCTAATATGAACTCTTGTAGAACGTCGTATCTTTGTGAAACTTTTTATGGCAATTCATTACAGTACTTTTTGGTAGAATTAAGTTTATTTTCTTTTGAGACGGGACCAAAACAATACTAGGAATCTGAGCTTTCATAACCAGGTGAGCAGTCTAAGTTGTAGCTCAACTTCTGATACACCGTTACAGCAGCTGTACAGTCTAATGTGGTTCAGAAGTCTTCCCAGTTCTGGTACGGTATATATGGAACAGTGAGTCAGTTCATGGTATTTCCTTTTAGACTTCTGCCTAATGACTCCGAATCACCCCTTCAGAGATTCTGGTCACTGTGCAGCGAACCCAGACTCCGAGACTGTTTTTAGTACCTTCTTAAAGTACCTTAAAGCACATGATTGAATTATGTTCCCTCTGAGTAGCAGTGCACCCACAGAAGTTAGTGTGTCATGAAGGTTTTTTCCTTGATACTTGATACTGCTTTTGTGTAAGTAGTATGAAAGGGATGGAATCATTGATCTTTTTCAAAAGACGGGTGGCAAAGTATTGATGTTGAATTTAATTTGAGAAAGTGACAGACTGGTAAGTATGTGCATCACTTTAATGCATGCAAATAGTAGTAACAGTAACTAGCTTAATTTTATAGCATTCAGTTTACAGAGAAGATTCAAAGAAAATACGGAGCTAACATCATTTGCATCCACTGAGAACCTTCTATGAACTGTATGCTTCAGGAATGGATCATTGCACATATACACATCTGTAATGTGTGTCTGCTACTTTGTAACAGTCTCTGATTAAACAGAAGTGAACCACTGTTTCTGTGTATTTTTTCTCCTCTTGAGGACCTATTTAAATTATTATTGCAACGAATGATAGCTGTTCCAAAGTAAGTATAAAATCCACCTTCACTCATGTTACGGTTTGAATAACTTTGTACTAGCTCTCTTGATTGTCTATAAACTGCAAAAACTCATTCACGTGAGCGTTATCTTAAAGTGTTTTATACCTGGAGACAAGCAAATGAATCCTGACTTCATAACCTGTAACTTCCTTTTGCTGCTGATCTGCTGTCCTTCTGCTGAACTGACTACAAAAAAATTGGTGATTTAAGTTGGAAGAGTCAGGGGGAATATGGAGGAAAGTACCTTAATAGCATTTTTATAAAACCTGGTAAGAGAGGGCATGCTGTTAAGTGATCTGTTCTAAACCCTTTTAGAGCAGAATGCTGGAGAGATGAGGTAGCTTTGAAGATGTGTGTCCTTGGAACTCCTGTCTGCTATGCCAGTTGGTCTCATTTAGCTACCACTGTTTACTCATAGATTAATTTCTAAGAGGTGGTAAAAGGAAGATAGATCCATTGTTTTAATGCTACACAACCTGGAACAATTCATGGCATTTTGAGTTGGATATGTGTAGTGAGGAGGAGCTTAACACTAAGTAGAGGACCCTTTGAGGAAGACTACTACTTTGCATGAGCTCTTTAATGGAGTTTGTCTTCTGGCCCTTTCGGCTCTCAGGAAATCGGAGGGGGCATTTGAAAAACGGGAACTGCTTTGTCCTAAAAGCTGGCTAGAGCAAGGGGTTTCGAGTGTTGCCTGGCCGGTTAAAGCACTCCCAAGTTTGATTTATCAGACGCTTGGGGAATTTGAATATGACTGGGTAAAGAGTAAGAAGGACGGGTCTGTACTTTCTGCCCTGTGAGCCTCAGCAGCTTGTTTTGCAACGCGGGACTCTGAGTGCTGGTCTGTAGGTTTATGCTTTTTATGCAGGGCGCGGGGGGAGGATTGTGTTTATAATATCCTGATGAGGTAAAGAGTTTGGATCTCAGCCTTTATTTTCTAAGAGGTAGAAATGGGTATCTTTGAAAAATAAGACCCCTACTTAGGCCTCAGAGGAAAGGCTTGAGTCTGCGGTGGTGTGGGTTACAGGGCAAAGGATAGCTTAACTACAGTATGAAGTAGGGTGTGCCTGCAGGCAGGAAGGAAACAAGTTATGAGACGGATCTTCTTGGCCCAGTCTTCTGGCTTTAATTTTTCATTGTGGTAACAGTTTCTTTTTGAAAACAAAAGCTATGCTTTTGCCACAGCATTTGAGCAGGTTGTATAAACTGTTAAGTAGTTAATGCTTTCTTTTGGCTCCCATACTTTTCAGTAAATTTGCACATCCTCTTTCTGCTCGGGGTTGAAGCCATCCTTATGCCCCATGCTAGACTTAAGAAAGCTGCCTTTGCCCAATTAAATTTTCAAACGTACACAGCCCCCTCCCTGTCCCCTGCATCAGGGGTGGGGGACAGGGGGGTTTCTCTAGCACCCCAGCTCCCTTGCTCCTAGCAGTTCAGATGCTGTCATGGTTTGCTCCTTCAATGTACCTTCCTAGCTCATCTTGGGGAAAGCTGCCTTTGATGTGCTTACCCTCTTAAGGTTAAGCTTAACCCTTGAGTGTTTGCTTAACCCTGGTGAAATCTGCGAATTTCCCAAGCAAAAAGGGCAACCCGCCAGGAGTCTACTTTGCTGTTGTGTCTTCCAGGTTGAAGGCAGGGGAAGGAGACAAGTATTGCCTGGCCAGCAGTCACAAGCTTTGTTTCTGCTTCCTGAGGCCAGATGGTGAAGGCTTGGACTAGACAAAATGGTCTTTCATTTCATCCTGTTTGAGACTTCGTTTGTCCTGAATTTGTAGTGGCTTGCAATTCCTTTTACAGTTTTCGGCTGTGCCCAGATCTTGGCCGAAGTTGGAAAAGCAAATCATACCTTGCTACTGTTAGAACTACATCTTCAGGTAGGATAATTAAGCTCATGTAGAAATGGTAATTCTTCCTAAAGGTTGTTTATTAGATTAAAACTTAAGCTATATGACAGGTTGTCTGGAAATTTTAGTAACAATATCAGTATCAAGCAATGTGAAACTCCAAGAATAACAGGCGGCTTTATTACTGGAAGCTTAATGTGACACGATGGTTGCAGATACAGTGCTGACAACAAACTCCTTTGCATTTTTCAAATTAGTATATCAGGCTAGACAAATAATGTTTTCAAGCATGGATATATACAATAGACAAATTTGAGTCATGTACTGTGTGGGCATTTCTTGGATAATGCTGCAAAACATTTTGCCAAGTGCAGGAATTGTTTGGACTATGAAATCATAACAGCGCTTACAAATAATCTTTTATGTCATCGGTGTCTTAACTGCTCGCATGTCTCTGCACCCCTCCCCAGATACAGACATACCTACTAGTACAGTTTGTAATACATGGAGAAGCAATGTAAGAGTGATGTAACATTTGAGACCTGTTTTTTATCAATCCTGATGTTTGCAAAGTCAGCTTAAAAATTGCTTACTTTCCCTCTGTGCTTCTGTGCTGGATATTGGCTTGCAGTTGATGGGTAGATGTATTTCATACATGGTATGTGTTAGTGAGCGAAGTATGTTACGGCCAGTGTAGTATACCTGTTGTAAGTTCACTGAAACTTTTTGTTGCTGATTCAGAAAGAAGAAAAAACATACAGTTATGTGGACAAATTCTGTTATTGATCAGGACCACCCAGAAATTAACTTAAAATCCTAATCTGTGAGCCGAGAAGAAAGGGATCCCCACTATACCTGTTTATTCTAGAGCTCAGTTCTCCAAGTATTGGGGGGAGGTCTTTTGTCTCCCCCCCACAGTCCCCAAGCAAATATTGCAATTATTGCTGTCTTAAGTTTGAAATCTTGCTTCTGGTGACTCCAAAACTATCAAAGGCTTCTGTTTCAAGGTACATTTTACTAGAAGGTTTCAAATTTTTTTAGATACTTGGTCGTTACTGCAGTAGTTAAGTGTGGTTATCTTGCTACCTGCTGTTCAGCCAGTGCAGTCCACTTTTTGTTTTAAATGTGACGATGGACACTCAGTGCCATATCTTGTAACAGCACAGTAGGTACTGTTAATGTACTAAATAGCTTGTATTCTGCTGACAATCGGGCTATTTTCAACCTCAATATTGAAAGCACAAAGACCATTAAATGAAAAGCCTAAATAAAAGGTCACATTTTCATTTCCAGGGGGCACTGAATCACGATGGAGTGGCAAGATAGGAAATGTCTTCACGTGACCACGTATAAATAAATTTCTGTCCTTGGTCCAACCAGAAACTCTCTTGAGAATGTCACGAATTCCGGTGGTATTCCATACACTTCCATGTAGCCACTTCATTCTCCTCTCGTGTAAGGACCCAGTAATTAACTTCTCAATTTTAGTTTTGTGCACAATCTTACCTAAGCCATAACCCTTTCCCAGAAAAAAGTGGGTGTAGATTCTTTTCTTTCTGGTAGGAACATCTTTCATCTTGATGTCATATAAACGTTTCAGAGTTTGAAGGGCTGAGTTTAGAATTTCGTCTTTATCTGGATTAGGCTCTTTGTCTAATGCCTCATCTGGCCAGTACAGCAAGGTGAGCAAAAAATGGGCACTTGCTGGAAATGGTCTTTTTCCTTTAAAGAATCTTACACTGAGCTCACGAAGAGTTTGCAGCGGAAGAAGTTTGGCTGATCCTGGTGCTAAGCATGTTAATGTGATGTGGCACAAAATATAATTGATCAGATCATTGTCCTCCAGCCTGTCCCTTAGTGGGTTTTCTGTATAGAAACTAAGGATCTTTTCTAGCTTTTCAGCTGACCTATGCTCTTTCTTATCTGTTAAGAATGACAGGATATTAGTGACGCTACCTCCGCCACTCTTATAAATATTCAAGCGTCTAGTCAGCTGGCTCTTGGGGCCGCCGTTGCTGTCCTCACTAAGTGATGTTGAGATGAAGAACTTGGCGTATACCTCAGACTGTCTCTTTAGCCATTTTCTAGGATTATAAATCTGTTCTTCCTTTTCATCGTTCTCATCTTCCTCTTCCTTCTCGTGGTTTTTATCTGTTTGGAAATAACTTAGGTCTTCCGAAATCCATTCCAGAGCATTGTACAGGTTCTGGTGTAAGCCTTTGAGGCGGGAGTGAAGCCTTCCCCATTCTTTTTTAATGTCTTCAGGAATGTAATCTGTGATCAGGTATTTCACAAGCTCGGAATATTCCCCCTCTGGATTTCTGCGAAATACATGGACTGTGGACAAAAATCTAAGGAGACGACATCCTACTTCTACTTCTCCAAAATAGCCAGCGTTGTTCATACTGTCACGTTCTGCTTTTGCAGCCTGTTGTGCAGCCCTGAAGCATTTCATAGCTTTAAGAGCAATCTCGATCTTTTGAATGATGCTTTCAGGAGTGTCCTCCTCTGTCATTTTATCCACAGTGAAACTAAACCACTTCCTGTAAACTTGACCTTCTGTATCTAAAATAAAAGAATCATTCGGCAAATGAAATTTTGCAACCCCTGCCCAATGTTCTGCATCTTTAAATTTTTCATTGTTGTAATGCAGTCTGGCGAGCTGCTGGGCGAAAAAGGGATCTTTTCCAAGGAGTTCATAGGCAGCTTTTAAAACAGCGATAGCTTTTTCACAGTCTTCAGCTTTACAGACGTGTTCAATGAATGGGGAGAAGAGAGTGTCAGTATTGTCACCCCTGCTTCTTTTATCACATCGAATAAACAGATGTCTGATGAACTTTATGAATTCCTCTTGTCCAAATCTGTTTTCAAAGAGTGTCTTTTCCTGAAGAAGAGTCATTGCAAGTTGACTTTGAGGTTCATTCCCTGAAAGCTGATGCAGAATTTCTTTTGCAACCAGACAGTGTATTATCTGAACGGATGAAATATAGGTGGTACTTTCCCTTAGCTCAATAAAAATCATTCTTGCTTGTTCACTCAAGTGACTTTTGAAATCGTATGCTCTTGATTTCCTTTCTGTATATACCCCCAGTCCCAGAAAAGCCTCACAGTGTGACAATGAAACATACGAATTGGGTACATAAAAATTAAGCAAAGCCACGTAACGCATCAAGCATGTATCACGAGAAGAACGGTCTATGTCTTGCAATATGTGCCCTACAAAGTCTCTCACATATGTTTCATTGAACTCCTCACACATCAGCACAAACGTAAGTATGAATTCTGGCTTGACATCTTTCTGCTTCAGTTTTTCAAGTTTAGTTCTGAACAGACTTTTCTCTGAGTCCGTCAGCTTGTGAGTGACAGCAACTGTGTCCAGTGGAGAAGCCTTGCAGAGCCTTTCAGGGTCATTGGATCGTCTACAGCACATGAGGATGAAGTAAGGTCTGGGGGAATTAATTTTCCTAGTTGCTACAGCATCCATTAACTCATTCCTTAGTTCTTCTAAATAGTCTTCATCATAATCCTCAATCAGGAGGAGCACAGGAAGACAATGACTGATTTCTTTTTCTTCATAATCTCTAAATGCAAGTGCGTGCTCACAAACAGTTGCAGGTGAGTATGAGACTTTGATAACAGCACATCGTAAGTCCTTTCTTCTTTTCCACAGGACTTGCCGTGCTATTGTGCTTCCACCACTTCCAGGATGGTGAAATATCTTCAGTTTAGCCACAGAATAGTTGAGTCTGCCTCCTCGTAAAATGTCATCTAGGAGTTTGCTAGCATCCTTACATGCTTCGCGTTCGATGATTTCCCCACAGTGTCTTTTATCAGCAAGCCAGAAGTTTTCCCAGATGATCTTTCTCCCTCGGTAAAAATTTTGTTCTATTTCTTGTATTTCTTTTTCAGTCAAAAGATCTAATTTGATGTCATCACATTGGTCAGCACAAAGGATTTCTAGGGAAAACAGTTTCTCTTCTTCCAGCGAGGGAAGTGTACATAGCCCTCTAGTGGAAACGGGCAGATGTCTGGGTTGTGCTGTAGAAGGCAGCATTGTTTGAATGGTGGCATCTACGTGGCTTAGTTTCATACCCACAACACTGCACTGTTCCAGTGTCTCAATGCTGCAGGATGCCTGAGCTAGATTAGCCCACTTCATGTAATTCTCTCTGGACTCTGCAATGCAAACGATGTACTCTGTGCCATTCATCTCTGTATAGAATTCCTGAAAAGTGTCCACAAGTGGTTTCTGCACTGGTGATAGCAATAGGAAAAGCACAATGAAAGACCGCTTTGGCAGGATTTCGTCACAGATACGAGTAATTGCTTTCTTAAGGTATTTTTTTTTGGTTCTAATCCATGTATTTTCATCACAAGGTTTTTCATCCCCGAGGAATTCACTGCGCCCATTGCAGAATATCCAGCTGGTCTGATCAAACAGGCACAAATGTTTCTGAGCGGGAGGGTTGCCAGTCTTACTTTCATTGGAAAAATCCTGTAAAAAAAACGGCCTTGTTGCATGGTGTTCTTTGTACTTGCTATACAGCCCTGACACATTAGAATTTTCATCAAAGTCAAAGACGCAGAAAATGTTCAAGTGCATTAGAAAGTTGATATAGTTCAGATTATCCTTTTCACATCTGTTTGTGACAAGGATGTACCGTAGGGAGTCATCCATATAGCTTTTGCCATCATTTAGTAGAATGGATAACTTTCTTCCTAAATTTTGAGCTATTTCCATATGTGCTTTTGTGCTGGAGAGCTCAGCTTTTTCTCTTTGAGCATCCCTGTCTTGTAAACCCTGAATGAAAGTAGCTAGATCATTGTGCTTCACGGGTTCAGACTTTGCTCCGAGTCTCTGATAGAGAGCTCGATCTTTTGTCAGGGTCACCTTCTGGCTGCCTTCATTGTATTTTGGCAAATACACTTCAAAAAATCTGTTTTTTACTAAACTGAATGTTGGTTCAATGTCAACCTCCACCACAAATCTTTGTTCCTGAGAGTCTTTTGAAATCACTTCAACAAAAACAGGTGGGTGGATACATTTCCTTGCAATTTCCTGTACGTTTTCACAAAAACATTTTTCTATATAATCTAACGCATCAACGTAGTATTCTCGCTCTTTGACCTTTATGCCAATGATCTGGCCGTGTTTCCAACCGCTATCTTCAACTCTGTCCGTGATACCAAAATGTATGGTGCCATTTGTTCGAATGTTCATGCAGGCTGAAGCAAATCGTATCACTTCGCAGGCAAATTTTGATTGCAGTTGATTTCTGTTCAGTTCTGCAGCAATGGCAAAAGATTTGTATTCATGGCAAGGAGTGATTAAACCATTGACTCCTGATTCTGGATCAAGAACTTTGTCTTTCACATATTTGAAATCGGTATTCTGACTCCTAAATGGTCGACAGTTGCAGAGCTCTAAAACTTCATCAGTACTTTTAAGTTGGGAGTTGTTACTTCTCCTTTGCCTCTTGCCAGAAGTAGAAGCTGTGTTGTCTTTGCTAGTTTTATCTACTGGACCACAGCTGTCTCCGCTTGAAGTTTTTTGAGTGGGGGCATTGCTGGGTCTTACTGGATCTGTTTGCACATCGGTTCTGTCGGACGTTTCGCTGCTGGAATGCTTGGCTTGCTGTGCATTTTCCTGTAGCCGCAGAAGTTCGTTTCTCTTGCGGATTAGCATGTGGATTTGGCCTCCCTTCATACCTATGCCTTTGAGGAAGGAGTCATCCAGTTCCACTAGCGCTGGACCCGTCACTTCTTCCGCATACAGTTTTTCTACATACTCTTTCTTGATTCCAGTAGATTCTAGCCAACATTGGACATGGTTCTCATCCCATTTATTCACAGGTAATGTTCTGTAATCTAGAAGTTAAAATTATGTATTAGTAATACAAACTAAAAACACATTAACATGCTTGACAAGGCATTATAATCCTTGCAAAACTGGCCATGTTGAATGCTAGATCGTTTTCTCTCTACCAGTCACAGTGAGAGACTGTGTCTTAACTTCTCAAATATGTCAGTTCTGATGACTAAAAGCATCCTTAACCTTAATCAAAAGCAGTCCTAAGCAATGGTACTAATAACTAACAAATCAGTGAAGCAGGAAACCATGAGGGAGGTTTGGAAACGATCCTCAAAGGGAGCCACGGAAATAACCCAAAATGTTTTTTGAAGGGAATGATGTGATAAGGCTACCGGAACTGACAGGGGCTGAATTCTCTAAACTAGAGACGTTTGGGTAGATCATTTACCCACTTGAGTCTTTATTTTCTGCTAAATGAAGTTAGCATCAATACAAACCATAAGATGATAAGAGTACTGATTAGTTCCCCACTAGAGATGAACCCTTAAAATGCAGATATTAAAAAATCTTGCATTTTAAGTACATGTAAAGTACAAATTTTCTGAAAGCAACACATACCCATTGCCTTTGATGAGGGAAATCCTGCTGTTAACGAACAAAACCCTAGAGGGGAAAAAAATAATTGTCTTCAGGTTTACAGTTAACATTCCTGTGTTAGTTAAGTTGACTTGTTCTGTTTTCCCAACCCCTCCCCACCTTTTTGGTCCAGGGTAGTTTCTGTACCTCTAAAAGGCCGGTCTTGCCAGCTACACTGCTTCTGTATGCCTGTACTGCGTGAAGGCAGCTATTGCTTCTGACACACGTGTGTGCAAAGGAGATGGGTTTTTGCTGGAGAAGCATGTGCCGACAGCTGTGCCCAGAAGATCTTTTTAGTGGGGTGTCCTGGCCTGATACATGATGTCCTCTGCCTTGCTCAGGCTCTGTTTACAGGGGTACAGAGATGGACTGCAGCAGGGATAGCTAGTTCTGTGCTGCAGGAGGAAACGTCAGATAAGCCTGCTCAGCGTAACACCAGAAATGTACAATAGATTCACATAGTCAACAGTAACCATCCATGAGCTATGGACTAGACAACAAGGGTTGCAGCGAAAGGGGTATGGTGGTGGTGATGTTTCTCTTACTGTAGTGTGAAAGCTCAGCTCTCTGCTGGTTCAGCAGGTGTCCATAGCCTGGCCAGCTCCATCCCTGCAGCTTGTGGTGGTACAACAGCGACACTCGCAGCCTCTGAAGTCAAGTGTAAAAGGAGCAGAGTCACCAGTGCAACCAGCACGAAAGGCAGTTGTGGGGTTCTGCGTAAGCTCCCCGCGATGTCTGAAAGTACAAAGGTTGTAGCTGAGGAGCACTCCCCAGGACCACGGCTTGGCAAGAGGTGAGTTCAACAGAAGGGGGTGGTTTGGTGAGATACTGGGCCTAGGAGAATAGGGGATACTAGGAAAAAACTTTGTGGCGCAAGTGTGTATTTACCATTTAAGCACTTGGTCAGCCCGGTAGAAAGCTTGTGGGCTGAGGCGCCAGCACAGCCAATAGCTTTGGTTTAAGCGAGTGGCTCTAGGGGGAACCTGTTACAGGACTGCTCTGGTGTGCCATAGGTGTAAGCAGATCCCTCCAGAGTAAGTGTAAACGGACTGGTTATGAAAGGGTTTGGAGACTAATTCCTGCTGACAGCCAGTGGCAGCCTCCCTGAAGAAATGGGGCTAAATGTCCCTGAAATACTGGCCTTTCAGTGCCTTTGGCCACCACCCCACCTCCCAGGGCTGTGTACAGTGACTTGGCTTGTGGTGGCACTGACACACCTATTTCTGGCACAGCCTGCTGTGACAGCTGACGTCAGGCGGGTTTTGGGAGAAAACGAAACCTAACGGGGAATAGAAACTGAGGTGGAGGCGTCAGGCAGGTTTTGGGAGAAAACGAAACCTAATGGGGAATAGAAACTGGGGTGGAGGCGTCAGGCGGGTTTTGGGAGAAAATGAAACCTAACGGGGAATAGAAACTGGGGTGGAGGTTCGGCAGTGGGTGGGCAGTGCTGGGGAAGCACATCTGGGGGCCGCAGAGCCCCTTGCTGGAGGGGGCCTGTGGGCCCCCCAGCCCCCCAC